AATTAAGATGTGTACATGGTTGTGCAGGCATGAAATCCCATTACTCCAGAGGACGAGGAAGGAGGATCCCCAGGGTGAACTGGGTGGAGAGGGAGAGACCCAGTCAGGGCTCTGAGTGTGCTGGGAAGGGAGGGGCTGGGAAGGTAAGGTGTGGCTAACAAGGGGGATAAAGGAGGAGAGGGGCAGAGGAGGAGATGCTCAGTCCTGAAGCTGCCAGGTACCGCTGGTCCTGGTGGGTTTCCTGGAGCTCCGTCACCCTCATCTGAATCTGAGCCTGGTAAGTTCTTGGCCTTGATGAAGGTTCCCCCTTCTGACTTCAGCTAGTGTCCTGTGGGAACAGAGATTTCAGATGACACTTTTGATTCTCTGACTGCTGTCTCTCCAGATAGGCAGGAATGGGGTTTTGTGATTGTTGTTATTTTCTTGAACCAAGGTCTTATGATGTTGTCCAGCTTGTTTTTAACTGAGAATATATTTCAGACCAACCTGGAACTCTCATGTGGACCAGGCTGGTCTCAAAGCCATGGTGATTTTTGTGACCCTGCCTCCCTAGTGCTGGGCATATAGGCAGGTTCCACTCAGCGTGGCTTTCTTCTAAGTCTTCAAGATGAGGCTCACCCGAGGAGGCCTCTCTCTTCCTTGAGCGGTCACATGATCTGCTGTCAGGAAGCACAGCACCCAAGGGTCTGTTGACACATGGAGTTTGCTGCAGTGTTTTCCCTGAGGATGACATCGCTGACTTCACACAGTTATTCTAACTCTGGAATCCTGTGACAATATTATTTGCCCAAATTCCCCCTCACCAAGGTTTTCAGGTTGGGGATTTTTCTGCCAGTGTCAGTAGTGGATAACGCCTGCCCCATCTCACACATAGAGCTATGACAATCACATGTGCATAAAACTCAACAAAGGTGTGGAGTCCATCAGTGCCTGAGTCCTGAGCTTGCAAACGCTTCTTAGCTCTTAACATTTACAAGGGGACTTTTCGTCCTGTCTCTGCTTTCATCTAGTGAAAGCTCAGAAGCTGTCAGGATTACCCCAGTGGATGCTGAGAAGCAACACTCTGATTGGAAAGCACTCTCTGAAAAGAGAGACAGGATCAGGAGTCACAAAAAGCCCCTGAGTAGCCATCCAGGAGCCTGGAGCTTGGAGATGCTGCTTGGACTCCTCAGAGCCCCAAGCGCCTGGCCACCCCATCTAGTCCTGAGGGGTCACCGCCCTGCCGAGCACATGCACCCCATCTGCCCTCAGCCAGTCTCCCCTGTGAGCTGCAGCCTGGAATGCCATCACTGTTGCTTTAAGTGTAGATTCAAATGAGTAGATGTGAGGTTTAGATTTACACTTAAAATTTAGATTTTTAGTGTTCTATAATAGTTTGATTTCTGCTGTAAATTTTCTATTTTTTTTCTTTTTGAGTGTTTAAGAGGTCTCGCTATGTACTTCAGGCTGGTTTTTTAATTCACACTGTAGCCTCAAAGTAATAGCAATGCCTGCCTCAGCCTCCCCAGTGCTGGGATTGCAGGCATGGTCCCCCACCCCTGCCCATCAACTCGTACCTTTGGATGCCTTAATTTATTATTATTTTTGGAACTATGATTTGAATATAGGACTTTTTCACTGCTCTACATCTCAGCCCACTGACCGTAATTTTTTTTGTTTTTGTTTTTTTCTGGTCCTGGGAATGGAACTCACAACTTCACGCTTGCCAGGCAAGTGCTGAGCTGCTGTGCTAAATCCCCAGACCCGGCCATATTTTGTTTTGAAACAAATTTTCAGAATAAATAAAAAACCATGGTTGGATACACATTCATGGAATCCTACCACCCGGTAGATCCCACAGTTATGTAATTCAACAAAATACTGTATTTTTAAATCCACAGCAATTGCCAGGTGCTTTGGTAGCATCTTAGTCATCTCAGGGCATTAAGAAGAATGAAATCAGCACCCTGAGAGAGCTATATGCTGTAGAGCAACCTACAGTGATGCAGGAATGCTGGTGTCAGAGATGGGTTACAGTGCAGCCTCCCATCATCAGCAAGAAGAACTGAATAATGGTCTTGGGTTGGCTGTTTGCAAACTTCCCATGAAAAAATAATTGTGGAGGACATTTGGTGTTTCCACAAAATTCTTGGGGTGTCTGTAAACAAACATGTGTGCAGTTCTAAAGTAAAATTAGGGCATGCCAGAGGCCCTATTCTCTAAACTTCGTGCTCATGAGATTATGCTGTATTTTCCTTACACAAGAGCTTTCACAGCCTGAGAAATTTCCAGCCAGCTCGCACACTGCTGAGTGGTCATCCCGCTGAGTGTCTGCTTCCACTGCCGGGCTTTGGATGACCCAGGGAACGAAACGGGAGGCAGACAGAGCAGATCTCTCCGTGCTCCTGCCAGCTCTGGGGTAGGAGGGGAATCCAGAATTCTATAACTATTTGCAATGGAAACCCATGGCGTTCATTTCATAGTCTGCTTAATTTTTCTTGGGCAGGAGCATTGTGGGAACTGAGAAGTTAGAGACTGAACCATATGGCTTTTCCATTTTATTGGTTATATTTCCTTGGAATTATGTTCAGAATATTTTCCCAAAACTAGTGGGAGTCAATTTCAGAATTCATGGTTCCCAGTTCCAGCAGGTCCAGAGTTCAGAGTGCTGGAGTTGGAAATGGATGTTTTGTTCATCTTTTTGCTTCATCACGGTGCTATCAGATATTCTTCCTGGTGGCATTTTAAAGAGAAGTAATGCTTTGGGACCATAAGCAATAAATAGTTGTTGGGAAAAGGGAGACCTCTTCCACCCTTGTCCCCCTTGATATTTTGGCTGCAAGTTGTTCCTGATGGGTGAGAAAGGGGGTTTCAGCCTTGCTCAAAGGACGTCTCTTTCCTCAGTTCTTCCCCAGCACCCCTGCCCTTCCAGATTCAGCAGGATGAGCTCGCAGTCCCCACATGTACTATTGAAACTGGCAATTCAGAGCTTGCTGAAGGACAAGGCCTTGGCCAT